GATTTTAGCAGAAATTTTAAGACCTAGAGCAATTCATCTAAATGCCTCGTAACCACATAAACCTCGTAAACGTACTTAGGGCCGGTTGTTCAATGTCTAATTACACTAATTGGAGGTAGAAGCTCTGGTTGAATACAAATCCAAGACGCCGATAATGATGTTTAACCGGCAAGTATGATAACCAGACATTGAACAACCGGCCTTAACTTTGTATGGAAAACGCTTATTTACGAGGTTTGTGCGGTTACGAGGCATTTACGAGTTTGGGGTGAATACCCTTATATAAAGAATACATAATGCATACAACGAGTAGATACTTAAAAGTAGATACAAAAGTAGCTCAAAAGTTCCCTTTTTGACTTGTGACGGTTTTTTAGTAAATTAGCAATATGTATGTATGTACATGTGTACATATATTTGTATTATGGCTTTTAATGTTTCTCTTCCAGACAATTGCTTACTTCGTATGTATTGGCAACTGGTGGCGCCCTGACCACAGCACTCTCCCTCAACAGGCTAGTGAAGGTGAGTAGACAAATTGGCGATTGAGAGGAAGATATATAGAACCCTGCAGAGGAAGCCGCCGATACTACATACTATTTAAATAGTGCTTATCATAACTATACGACACCCACGTATCGACAAGTTTTGACTATTTATCAATTTTAATATTTTTTTTTATATAAATACATACATAGATAAGAAAACCCATAGAAATCTAGGTTTAAAACTTTGTACAGAAATTAAAACAAGTAATTTTTAAGCAAAAAACAAAATTTAAGATTATCGTTAATTTCCTCATTATACAAAAATCGGATTTAAACCGAATCACGTCCACCTGTGAGGAAACACCTTTCCTTTAAAAAAGAATTATAGAAATCGGTTTATGTGGTCCAAAGTTATGCGGTAACATACATAAAAAAAATAATAATATTCTGACGAATTGATAACCTTCTCCTTTTTATAAAGTTGGTTAAAAATAAACAAAGTTTCATCAAAGTTTTTCACTTTTTATCCAGTCTCACCGAAATTATTCGAATAGTGACAGTTTTATAAAAATAAAAAATAAAATATTGTTATTAGAGCGGTTGCTATTTGACTAACTGGTTAATTATTAGCATAAATTTTATAACTGCTTAAAATATTTTTAGGTGACATATGACGATTAAATTTTTGTACCACTATAAAATGTATAACATAATGACCATTTGACTGTATGGGAATCACTTTTATGTATATGTACATACGTATAAATTTCGGAAATCCATTGATGTTTGATATTTAACATATTTCATTTTTCATATTTAGTTTCCCGATTTTTATAAATCTCCCAGATATAGGACTGCAAAAGTAAAATTTACTTTAAAATGAATAATTAACCTCAAACGAGAATTGTCCACCTATCTTATAATCACTTCGTTACACATTTATCAATCAGATAGTATAGTTTCACAAAAAAAGCTTTATCAGAAAAAGGCAAATTATTGAAAAGAATATTACAACCTGCCTTATCCTGAGTTTCGAACGAAAAACAAAAAAACCACCCGAAAATTATTCATACGCCCATAGTAAATACATGCACACCAAAAGTGAAAAGTGAAGCGGTGCTGGGAAAATGAAACTCATGAAAAGGCTGAATATCAAAAGAAAATCATGAAAATGTGATATAAAACTAATATTACATACATTATTTTTTTCAAGTCTACTTGTTTAATTTTGAGATTGGTCCATAAATTACATAAAAACGAAAGTAATAAACGCAACCATAGGAAGAGCAGAAAACAAAAAATATATACATACATAGGGCTAGTTCTATTTGACGAACGCTAAAGATCAAGTAGCGGTAGCGAATTTTATGCCTGCCAAGTGACATGTCGGTTATAGAGCTTGAGAAATACAAAATATGAGGAGAATGCCTATAGGCACAACACCCGGTAGAAATGATCACAATGTCAATTGATTTTTGAATTTCACTTATGGCCTCTTTCACATCTATGGAATTTTGGATTGGCCTTATGACCACTTAAATTAAAATTCCACTTTAAAAAATTAAAGCTACCAAATTCAAAGTTCAAATTCAATTCAATTTTATGGGGAAAAAACACTTTTCGTTGAAATGGTTTAGAATTCCTGAAAATCTATATCAATCAATCGCAAGACCCTGGTTCTCTTCAGGAGACTTCCAATATTCATATCCATTTGTTTATTTAACAATTTTTTAATACTAAAGATTTTTTATTGGTCACCCAATGCATATTCTGGGGGTTTTAGCGGTCCTATAAAATATATTTACATACCTTGAAAAAATGGGGCTGCCTAGAAATAAAACAAAATCACTTTGCACTCAATCAAATTCTATAACAAAACGCCTTACTTCATATTATTCGAAGCTCGGCTATCTATTTACATGAGAATATAGCTCGGTGAATTATGTTAGATGTCTAATTAGTCTGACCTTACCTCCCCTCAACCAAAACTTTGTATCCGCCACTGTTCAGAACTAAATAGCAGATTCTCAAAATCACTTAGTGTAGGATCGTCTAAATTTGTAATGTAAAAATAAACTTAAAAAAACCATAATTCGTATGATGTCTTTTATTTATAGACACTTTTTATGCAGTATATATTTTTATTTTTTTTTTATGTACTTATAACGTTTTATTAAATTTTATGTATTGTATTCTAATATGTCTTAATTTTGTTAATTTTTTACCTTATTTTAATTTAGTATAACAATTTTTTTTTTTTTTTTTTTTTTATTCATTACTCAACACTATTTTTAATGTTTCAGAACTTGAATCCATTAATTGGTCGCCTGGTGCCATTGGCAGCGGTAGCCGCAGCAAATTGCATTAATGTGCCGATGATGAGATTGCAGTAAATATTTTCCAATACTTATTCTGAATAAAGTACAAATTGTCCCCTGAATATAACAATAGCGTATAATTTTTTTTGGGTTTTGAGAAAATCGAGTTTAAAGTTTTTGTTTTTTTTTTTGTTTGAAGGAAATTTTTGAACAAGAAATTATACACAATTTTTTCCAATGACATTTTGACCCACTTTGTGGAAGTAGAATTTGACGAAATTTTGACCAGACATAGAATCAATGATGGAGGTTCTAAATATGCAATAAAAAAATAATGGCGTATGAGCACATACGCTATTGTTATATTGAGGGGACGAAATATTGTATTTATACAGTAATTTCTATTGAATTTTTAAGGGAATTGAAAAACGGCGTTACTTTGCTGGATGAAAAGAACAACGAATTGGGTGTGTCGAAGAAAGCGGCTGCTGCCGGCATCACTGCAGTGGTGGCTAGTCGAATTGCTATGGCTGCACCGGGAATGGGTAAGTTTTATATGCTTACATATGTATGTATGTACATTAGGGCGGGGCAGTTTGTATGCGAGATTTTTGCGACTATCACAGACGAATTCTACGTGGAATTCTAAGCAAATTTGAAGTTGCCAAATAGCGAAAATAGATTTCTTAGCATTTTGCTGTAGTGTCGTAAAGGAGTGCTTAAATTTTGTATAAAACATGCTATAAGAGGCTTTTTTTGTAAGAGAAATCCATTTCTGCACTTATCTTAAAGCTTCCAACAGAGGGCGCAAAAGTGAAAATTTTCACATTTTCTTCTGAACCCATTTTTGCAATTTGGCTAACTTCAAATTGATTTTACACCCATGCCATGGGTACTTCGGCAAATTTGCTTAGAATTGCACATAGAATCCTTCTGATATACGCGCATAGTAAAAAAAAATTTATTGGCCCTAATGTACATACATATTTCTTAAATTACAAGTTACAAATGCACACTTATTTTCCATCTTTTAATAGTGCTAACGCCCTTGCTGATTTCATCCTTGGAAAAACGTGGTCTCCTCAAACGCTTCCCCAAGGCCAGTGCACCCATTCAAACCCTTTTCTGTGGCTTCGTTTTGATATTCGCCACTCCGCTGGGATGTGCATTCTTCAGCCAACGTGCTTCGATTGGGGTTGGTTTAACTCGCTTTTAACTCTATTCTGTAACACAAATTCACTTTCTATGTACTTTCAGGTGGGCAAATTGGAAGAGGATGTGCAGAAAAATATTAAAAAACTGAATCCCGAGCTTACTGAAGTCTGGTTCAACAAAGGCTTGTAAACTTAGAGCTTAGCTTATTTGAAACTCTCTTAAGTGATTTTGCATTTCGAAAGGACAATAATACTTACATACATATTACATACTTGCATGCATACAAATGTATGTATGTATGTATGTAAATTCCATTTAGTTTCTATATGGTTAGCGCTGATAGTTGTGAAACTTCGTTTGAAGAAGAAAGATTACAAAAAGTCTTGGGCATTTAATCTTTTATTAACTACATTCTATAAATGCATACATTTTTATGTAAACAATTATAGCTGTGTATGTTTGAAAATACGCCTATTTATCTAAATTCAGTTGCATCTTATTAAAAGTAAATGTGTATACTCTGTTGAATTCCGATTACATTCGTAAATACATACTTATTAACTTTGCATCGGATTTCTTTGGCGGTGCTTTGAGATGTGTAAAGAAATACCTCATTTAGCAAATTAAATTTAATGTACCATTCTTACTTAATCATTATTTACTTCAACACCATATAAAGTTCTTACCTCCCTTTTTTAATGTATTTTAAAGGAATTTATTTAAGTATATAAAAAACACAAAGTCTTGTAAAACGTACATAAATATGTTGTTACATAAAAAAATAAAGACTATTTTTGAATTAATGTTATTTCACTTGTGAACGCCTTTTTAACTAACAGCCCAATTCTATGCACTTTATAAATTCAAAATTTTTACGATTTTTAAATTATTTTATTCAAGATACTTATATTGAATCTCCACTAGGCATTAGATGACAATTTTTTAAATGGCATACATTTTTTGTAATTTTAATGCCTAGTTGAAATTCGGCATTAGAGTAGAACTCCATTGTTTCAGCAGTTTGTATGAAGTTCAACACCTACATTTCTCATAAAACCTGTAAACATCGTAAATTCACGTCCCCGTAAACCATCTGTCAATATATGTATGTATATCCAGGTCACAAATTCAATCATCAAAATTAGTGCGTAGACAATGCAGTAAACCTTAACTAAAACGGTGTTCACATGAAGCGATTTTCATGGCAGTTTTAGAGGCGCTTAGTTGAATCAAAAGTGGGCTAGACGCTAATTTCACTGGAAGCGATTAGTTGAAAGGCCAGGCGATTGTTGCTTTCAACTAAAAGTTTCCATTAAAATCGCCGTATAAGGGTAAAATTAAAATAAATATTTTCAAATTTATCTTATTATCACTTTTCCCTTAAATATTCAGCACTAGTAAATCAAATGCGAGATTTTTTTGTTTGAAAGTGTAACAAATGTCATGTAACACTCTCATAACTTTATTGAGCGATTTCTGGGATACCCGAATGACAGTGTATATCGATGGCTAAGTGAAAGATCGAAAGATCTCGGTAGCCAATTCGAAAACGCCATATCTCAGAAAATACCTCGGTGAACGCATCAAAGCGGAGTTCCTCAACATCTCGATCAAATGTGCCCATGCTCCGACCAAAGAAAAAAGACAAAGTGTCCAAGGATAACTTCCATGGGCGCTACCTCCGCCATGATATCAAAATCGTGCTTGGCGACTTCAATGTCAGGGTGGTCAGGGAAGAGATCTTTGGAACCACCATGGTGCACCTTCAGAAAATCCAGCCTCCACGACGAAACGTCCGATAATGGACTAAGACGGATCGACTTCGCTGGTACCCAAACATCGTAGTATGCAGTACTAGGTTCAAGCATAAAAATATCCATCAAGCTACGTAGCTGTTTCCAGTTCGAAAAACCAGAAACCAAGTCGAACCAGCTGAGCTATTCAAGTACCGCGGCGAGGAGCTGATAAGGTGCATGTACAGGAATTTAAGTGTGCTCTGCCCAATTCACTAGAAAGTCGATCCCGCCATTCGCGCCATCTACCGCCGGATCAGTCTACTAAACATAGATTATAAAGTCTTATCGAGCGTATTGTGTGAAAGACTGAAGCTCACCGCCAACAAACTGATTGCGCCTTATCAGTGTGGCTTTAGACGCTGCAAATCCACCATACGCCAAATCTTAGAAAACGCCAAATCTTAGAAAAGACCCGCGAGAGAAGTATCGACACTCACCACCTGCTTGTCGACTTCACAGCCACTTCTCACAGCACTAAAAGGAATTGCCTATACGCCGCAATGTCGGAATTTTACATCAGCGCGAAATTGATACGGCTTTGTAAAATGACATTGAAAAATACCACCAACTCCAGAATTGGGAAACCCCTCTCCGAGCCGTTTGCTACCAAACGGGGCTTCAGACAGCGTGACTCTGTTTCATGTGATTTCTTTAATCTGGTTGGAGAAGATAATAAGAGCTGCAGAGCTGAATCGCTCAGAAACAATTTTCTACAAGAGATTGCAATTACTGGCGTACGCCGATGACATTGACATCATCGGTAGCAAGAACCGCGAATTTCCAATTTGGATAAGGGAGCAAGGCGATTGGGTCTGGTAGTTAGCGAAGACAAGCCGAAGTATCGCCTGTCAACAAACAAATATTCAGCGCATTCGCGCCTTGGCACCCACGTCACTGTTGGCAGTTATACATAATTTCGAGAAAGTAGAGAATTTAGTTTACTGGGGAACCAGCATTAACACCGATAGTAATGTCACCACCGAAATTCAATGGAGAATCACCCTTGCCAACAAATGCTACTATGGAATGAGTAGGCAATTCAGAATTAAAGTCCTCTCTCCAGCAGAAGCATGAACAATGACAACATCCAATGAGGTGGCTCTTGCAGTATTGGAGAGAAAGATTTTGCGGAAGATTTACGGGCCTTTGCGCGTTGGCGACGATGAGCTGTATGAGCTTTACAAGGACATGGACGTGGTCAGCTGGGGGTAGCAGAAGCAGAGGGAGGCCCCCACTGCGATGGAGAGACCAAGTGTAGAAGGGCTTGGACTCACTTGGCATTTCCAATTGGCACAGAAGAAAAAAGTGCTTCTACATTCTCCAAGTTCTACGTCCTTATATAAAAAAATAACGAAATTACTGTATTGCTTCATTTTTGTGAGTGAATTTCTTTTTAGTGGTGGGATTTTCCTACACTTTTAATTTTTTACTGAAACCCGTTGGTTAAATGTAAAAAGAAACGGGCTTAAGAGGGGTGGAACATGAGTGAAAAAATGGAGTAAATTTTAAGTAAAGTGGAAGTGCAGCGAAACAAAGGTGGCGCCTTCCGCGGACCGCTAATAAGCTCTTTGTCGATTTGACAGCATCCACCCTTTCGCTGACGTAACAATATTTTTTTCGCCCTAGTGATGAATATTCAATTTTCATATTGTACCTATTTGCCGAAAAGTTGTACCTAAAAGTAGATACGTATATTTTTGTGCGTACTTTTTCGATGATTGGTGGACTACCTCTTCTTTCGGTCTTATCTACTTTTGTATTTACTGGTTAAAAAATTGTTGTTACCAGCGCAGATTAGACCTGTTAGTAACCAATATTGTGACGCCACACCCAGTTGCTCCCAGCTACCGTTAAACGTGGCAATTCAAGCGCTTTTTCTACGCATTTTGCTGTCAGAATGCGAAATCGAAAGTCTATTTTCCCGTGTAAACAGCCGAAAGTCCTTTTTGCAGATTTGCAGAAATCACTTTCGAAAATAAAAATTGAAAGGTGTAACTGCAACTGAAATTACGCAAATCGGTAACAATTTCAACTTGCTCGTGCTGCACTAGCAATTTTCATTTTTGCTGCAAGTGCTGTCATACCAATCGAGTGTTGCCGTGTGACGCGATTTTTGCCGAATTTGTACAAGATTTGGAAAATGTTGAATCATTTTCGTTTCTTTATACATTCCGGATAATCCTATTTCACAGCCGGAATAAACAGAATGCGTTTGAAATATACGTTAACATATCATCAGGAACGTTCTAAAGAATAAGTAAACAAAAAAGTTTATTCCAAACGTTCAGAATGAATAAAGAAATACAGCCTTAATAAAATAGATACTTGTAATTAATGTATTCTCCTGATATGAACAATTCAAATATATTAGGATTAGACATTTTGTGGTTGTTTCGTGCGCATTTTAGCATTTTTAACAAATTTTTCAGGTCAGGGCCTGTGTCAATTGATAGAAAAGAGGAAATTTTGACCGATAAAAGTATCCATTCGTCCTGAAATATATTAGCCAGAAATGCGATTGCTTTATAAAAAAGATAACCATTTTGAAATTGGAGTATTTTTACTCTCTAGAAAATAATTTATGCAACCTCACATACGCGGTTTCGCATTTTTTTGATACGCGGTTTCGTACTTTAAACGAGGTTATAATTATTTTAGGAAATCTACTTTGATCGGTGATCTTCTATTAATTTGCTTGTGTATTTGCGTATAATTTAGTAAATCGCCAAATGATGAAAAACAGATATGTAATCAAAAAATGGGGCCTGAAGTAGGAATGTTCGATATCGTATCGATTATTCTGAATATCGATATTTCATGGCACGATAATCGATTTTTTGAATCGATATTCCAAGGTCGATATATCGAAGACATCGATACTTTACCCGCAATACCGATATTTAAGTTGAAATTTATTTTTGATCTACAAAAAAGTGTATGGGAAAATATTAAAGTAGGTTTATTCAGCAGCTTGTGTGATTTATTTAGCTTTTAAGTTTGACAAACCACTTGAGTCGACCGACATGCCGTTTTAATCCTCAGTAAATATACAAGATGGAAATAACACAATTAGGTGAGTTGATAGGCAGGTCTATTATTCTATTCAATTGGGAGTAGGATTTTCGACATCGATTTTTCCGATATCGATATGGTTCAGCCCGATATATCGCCATATCGATTTTACATGCAATGAATTAAATCGATTCGTGATATCGATAATTTCTTAAATATCGAACATTCCTAGCCTGAACTGTATATGACAGTTTTACCAGTTTTCATCTTAAAAGCGCTCCGGTACTTTTTGGTTTTTGACAGTTTCAAAGGTTTATCCAGCAGAACAGTTGAGGAACGAAACTAAAAGAAAGTTGGCGACATCTAGGTGCGAAATGTGGTATTAAAACACAGCTAAAAAGTGGCATCACCTCAAATTCGGACGCTTTGACAA